GAGCCGGGCCGGGCCACACCCTCCTCCTCCTCCTCCTCCCGCCGCTTCCTGCTCGCCGGCGATGCGGGGCTGGCGCTGACGCCCGGCGCGGGAAGCAGCCGGAGCGCGGAGCATGCGGGCAGGGGCCCGCCGCTAGCCCCGCCGCGTGGGCAGAGGGCAAGGCCCGCCCCGCCCTGCCCTGCCCTCCCGCAGCCTCTCGCTGCCCCCGGCCATTGATGGAATGATGGTGCGGGGCCGGCAGGGCGATCCCGCCGGGCTCAGTCTCCGTGGCGGCTGCGGTGGCCCAGGCGGTGCGAGGGGGGCGGCCAGAGGCATGCGAGTGCCCCCCCGGGGCGATGGCTAGTGGCGGCTCGGGCAAGTCCGCCAGCGAGGTGCCCAGCAGCGGCTCGCTGCAGAGGAAGAAACTCCTCTCCGTGTGCGACCACTGCAAGATCAAGATGCAACTGGTGGCCGACCTGCTCCTGCTGTCCAGCGAGACCAGGCCGGTGGCCACCGAGAGCCTGGCGGCCTTCGGCGAGTCCTTCGAGAAGTGCAGGGACACCGTCATCGCCCGCACCAAGGGGCTCTCCATTCTCACCCACGACGTCCAGAGCCAGCTCAACATGGGCCGCTTCGGGGAGGTGGGCGACAGCCTGGTGGAGATGGGGGAGCTGGTGGTCTCGTTGACCGAGTGCTCCGCCCACGCCGCCTACTTGGCTGCCGTGGAGACCCCGGGGGCTCAGCCCGCCATGCCCGGCTTGGTGGATCGCTACAAGGTGACCAGGTGGAGGCATGAGGTGGAGCACGGGTGCGGGGTCTTGAAGACCACCCCTTTGGCAGACATGAGCCCGCAGCTCCTGCTGGAGGTCTCCCAGAACATGTCAAAGAACTTGAAATTCCTGACAGATGCCTGCGTGCTGGCCAGCGAGAAATCCAAGGATAAGTTTGCCAAGGAGCAGTTCAAACTCAGTGTCAAATGCATGAGCACCAGCGCCTCTGCCCTCCTGGCCTGTGTCAGGGAGGTCAAGACTTCGCCCAGCGAGCTGACCAGGAACAGGTGCATCCTATTCAGCGGACCCTTGGTGCAATCTGTCTATGCTCTGGTGGGCTTTGCCACTGAGCCCCAGTTTTTGGGCAAAGCTGCCACCATTAATCCAGAGGGCAAAGCTGTGCAAACAGCCATTCTAGGAGGAGCCATGAGTGTGGTATCTGCTTGTGTGCTCCTGACCCAATGCCTCAGGGATATAGCCCAACACCCAGAAAGTAGCACCAAAATGAACGATTACAGGGAAAGGTTGAGGAACTCAGCTTGCGCCGTCTCGGATGGGTGCAACCTGCTATCTCAGGCACTAAGAGAAAGATCTTCACCCAGGACTTTACCGCCAGTGAACTCCAATTCTGTGAATTAACTCCCCCACCCCTGTGTAGATCCCAGTCATGGCTAAAGGAAAATAATATCCCACCTCCCCAGCCCCTTCTTTTTTATATACCAAAGAATTTGCTTGGAGGACCTCAGTCCTTTAATTTCACGTAGTGATGAAACAAAGCAACATACTCCAACTATATATAGAAGGAAGTGAGGGTGGCCAATTTGGGCCTTTTTTTTTTTCTAATCAAATAATTATTCACAAATAAATTTTCCATTACTCAACAAGGTCTAAATGCAAGGAGATGGTAATATCAACTGGTAAAAGTTTTCTACCTGGGGAGGTGGGGGGAAATCTAAAAAAGCTTTAATCGCGCTGGGTGCGGTTTTTAAAGTTTGTCTTGTCTTGTCTTCCGAAATTTCCCTTCTAAATTTTTACTGTTCAGTTGTGCAGGAAAAAAAAGTTACCTCAGTTCTCATATTTGAAAAAAAAAAACACAGCAACAACTAGATGATGGATGTAGCTACTTCTTTTCTTTGTATGATTTCTTTTTGAATCAAGTGTTAGGTTAGAAGTGCATTTGGTGTGTAGGAGTGGAAGGAGTGGAGGTTGTGATTATGTTTCCATGTGTTGATTTCCAAGCTGGGGGGGGTGGGGAAAGCTACTGTGAGTGTTTAAACAAACAAACAAAAATTACACTATAACAGAAGTGATTTTAATTTTTTTTTCCAATGTCAGTTTTTATCTTGCATGTACTGGAGTATTTATTTCATCTATTAAAACGTTATGTTTCTCAGATGTCTTTCTGTGAATCTCTTAATACTTGAATAATTGAACAACTAGGCCAGCGTGCATTGTATGTCATTTTCCCCAGGGAATGGGTGGTACAAATGCAATTATTAGAGCAGCATACAGACTTACATTCAGTTATGTTATTTTAACAAATACTTCTTCTTTCCCTTTCCCCCCAGTCCTACCCTCTTCCTCCCAAAAAGGAATTCTTTGAATTATTTTTTTAAAGCTGGACAGTAACCTGTGTACTAATAGCATGCATCTGGAAAGTGGTAGTTGTCTATTCTGGGTGACACAAAGAGGGTTTGCAAATACCAAATGTTCCTGCATCTTTGAGAAGTGTCACTGTATTTTAGCTGTTATTGGTTTCAAGGACTTTATAATGCTTGTGAGTTTGGGTCAGGTGACCTCATTATGGGCTCTCTACTGCAAACCCTTATCAGCATGGGCAGGCCCATTGTTTCAGTGCTACTTTGGCTATGTAAGAGCTGCAGGATTGGGCCTTGTGAGCCTACTGAGGCCTGCATTTGTAGCTGTTCGACTTGGGTCTTTTTCAAAGCATAGCAAGTTTTATGCTGCAGGTAGAGCAAAAACATAGCTGCCTTAAGCCTCTTGGAAGGGCCAGTCCAACTTCAGTGGGAGTTGTATTGGGCCTATAAACAGTACCAGGGAATTTCACTGTAATTGTCTACAGTCGTGTCTTTAAAATGAATATTGTGCGTTGGGTCATTGCTGTAGATGATGATTTATTTTAAGAGTTACAGCAGTTGTCTGCTTTAGAATCAGTCCTGGAATACTGAAGCACTGCCTTTTTATAGCATTATTGTTTAAAGTACGGGCTTATGCTAGGTAGCGTGTTTTATTTGCGAATGTAAGTAAAAGATTGGTTGGCTCTAATAGGCTCTAAAATCTTATTTTAGATTGGATGTATGTGAAAATATGTATGACACTTCTTTTGGGTTTGGAAAAATGTTTGGTTTTGCTTTTTCTTTTAATGAAATTCAGTGAATCCTAAAACCACAATGCCCCCCTCCCCCCCCACATTGAAACTCTTAAAACTCTTTCAGTTCAGTAAGTTGTGTTGCTATATGCTATAATTTTCACTTTTGGTTAAGCAGTCCCCTGTGTGTATTTAATGCTGTTGTGTGTGTGTGTTTTCCTAAATGATTTTGTGTACTATAAGCCTGTTCTATTCTATGCGCCATTTATGCTGTAGGGAGAGAGGGGTTATGTATCAGTGCAAGTTGTATTATACACTTTATCTTAGTATAACCTGACCCAGTTTTTTCAGGTGTAATGTGCTCTAATTTTGGTTCATAACCCTGTCCCATGTGTCAGGCCTATGGGAGAAATATCCAGGAGAGGAATTACCTACCTCCCCCTCCCACCACAGATGCATGCACTCATGCATGCACACTCCTTTGGATGGTAGGGTGTGTCTTCTGCAGGAATAATGTTGGTGTCCCGTGCCTGTGCGCTGTCAGCAATTTCAGTGGCCCCCCTGCTCATCTTCCCAGTAGCTTGCCTTCCTTGCAACTGTCTTTAGTGACCCAAGAGGGGAAGGAAGGCTCTGTAAGAAAGGTAACAGTCTCAGGAAGTATTATTTTCTTTGACTAATCTCTATGGGGATGGACAGGGGATGAGGAGTAGGTTCCACCCATTTCCTTAGCACAGATCTTAGACGGAGTGAGAAGTGTCCTTTAGAACTGGGAAAAATGATGCTATGAGGCAAGCAGATCTCTCCCCTTCCGCGTGGAAGTTGGGATGTGTCTGCTCCCAAAGGGTCCCTCGTGCCTGTGTATCTGGTGACATGATCTTGCTCTAATATTTTTTTAATTTATTGTGACCTACATTTCCCAGGCCTACTTCCAGATATAAAAGCAAAAGATCCTGAAGGGCAGCTCTGTAGCGTATCTGAAGAAAAGTAACATCCCACTGGCTCTTTTGATGTTTTTACTTACTAATTTTTGGCACTGCTGTATAATTAGATTCATATTGGTGCATTTTTACATTGTTAATGAGGTTATATAGAACACAGCGCAGCTTCCTTATTTCCTCCAAATACAAAAGGCAATATATTATTAATTGAGAGAAATATTACCACAACAAAATCGACACTAAGAAGCCTACTAAATTGCTTCTGTTTTAACAATAATACCGCAGAGTCCCCCCCTCCCCCCATCTCTTTGATGCATCTTGCTTCAAAATGTAGGTTTTTGTAAAACAACAAGCTGCTCTAGATTTTACTTTTCCCTTTGAGGCATGAATTTTTATTCCAGTGTTATACAATAAAGCCTGGGAATAAAATCCTGAGAAGTACAGTTGGTTAGGTTATGATTTAATAAATAGGGGCTTAAAACAAATCTGGTTATGGTAAATTAATTCAATGAATTTACCAAAGTTAAACTATGAATTATTTAAATACCTGTCAAAACTTTCATTGATTGCTTTCCTGAATAGAATTCCCATAGATGATAACCAGGGTTACATGCCTCAAGATTGAGTGTAGCCCCCTAAACCATTTGTATAGTCATATACAGAGTAACATAAGCAATTGAAAACACACACACACACACACACACACACACACACACACTCTTCAACTGAAAAAGCATGGTTTTGTTACAAAGCATAAGAACATTTAAAAAAAAAATAACTTTGTTTCCTGTTTGTAAAAATTGAGCATGTGTTGTGGGAATTATCTTGGAATATATTTGTATGGGGGATCAAATCTGGCACATCAAGGAAGTATTCCAACAGTTTTGCATTGGTTGATTCACTTTGGATTTTCCAAGACTGAGAAAATCCAGACAAAGGAGGAAGTATTTTTACAGGAGCCCGTGTGCATAACTTCTTCCCCTCGTGGGAGAGGGCCAGTATTATAGTCTCTTATCAGCTGACTTCATCCTTTAGGCCCTAATTGTCTAAAGTATACACATGTGTAACATTAGCCAAGCAGGTACACTTGATTTCAACATTTGAGCTAGATGTATGTAACTTTTTTTTTCTGACAGCAACAAACTTAATTTGCCAAGCATGTCACACATGTAGTAGATAAATTTTAAAAGTGTATTTAATAACACAGTTAACTCATTTTTAAACACATTGTGCAATGCACAGGGTTAGCCAAAAACAACACTGTCCCCACCAAAAGAGGACTAAACATTTTTAAAATGTAGGAATTTTTCTAAAGGGGGAAGAGTTGTCACATTCATATTGGTTGTGTTTGCAGTTACCTTGTTTTTTTCCTCTATTGTAATCCCGTTTGTTACTGATTACATATGGGACGTGGATTCAACAGAGTTTAGGAGATCAGAGCAACTTGCTTGCTGATTTGAAAAAGAATAAAATAAAACTGTAAAGAGAACCAGTAAACTAGCAGTTAAGTGTTACTGAAAAGGAAGTGCATTGACTATTTAAGGCAGCTAATGCAAATGAAAATCCTTGCTATTTTTCAAAAGTAGGAAAAACTCCGGGTCAGATCATTCCCTCTACTTTTACCACAGGAAATGATCAAAGTAGCAGAAAATCTGCTCTTTTTGGCCAAACTTCTGTCAGATGCAGAAGGGGTTGAGCCAACACATGATGTCTGCAGTGTGGAGGGGGTGGAGCTCCTTGGCAGTGGGGTGGAGCCAAGAAAGAGAAACTCTTAGGAGGAGGGAGCACCTTCTCTGCAAGCCCAGAGGAATGTTCTTGTTCTAGATAATGTTGGGACTAATCCAGCAGGCAGTTCTTAAATGATATAAGCTTTCTTTCCAAGCTATCAGATGCTTCAAAGTATTAGACTAGGTACGTCCAGAGGGCTCTGAGAAGCTGTGCTGCTTTGCAGAGCAAAGGAGTCTATGGAGCAGCTATAGGGCATCTCCGGGGTTTCCCTACTGATCTAGGGATATTCCTCAGTCTGGGGGGCCACCTTGGTAGGTGAGGAGGCAAACCTCTGTCACCCTGGCAGGATGATCTAGTTGCAAAAAAAAAAAAAGTCTGCTAGAGCCTTTTGTTCCCCATTGGCGCTCTCAAGGCTATATAAGCAGGACAGCACAGTATGGGCTTGCATATTTTACATCTCTTGAAATTTTCTATTTCACTTTCTGTGAAAGACCTCAGATGGATACCACGTAGGCAGACATTCCTTTCCCACAAAACTGTGCAGTTCCTAGGTTGTCCCATCAATTAGGACCCCTTCACAGGTACCTGGTCTCCAGGCCCATTGATTTCAGTTGTCTGGCTGTTTGCTGAGGAGCCAACACAGTCCCACTGGTGACACAGGTACCTGTCTGTTGTAGTGGACTCAGACCATTCATTTATTTCATTTGAGGCACTACATTTTCTAAGGCTTTTTTGGGTTAGTATAAAAATCAACCTAACAAGCAGTATCCTTCAGACTCCCTAGTGAGAAGCTTATGGATGTAAAGGGCCTGATCCTGAGCCCACTGTGATCCATGTAAATAATAGTTCATTAGAATATTTATTATAGTACTTATCTCAATATAAACTCAAGGGTCTGCTTAAATTGCAAAGCTAGGAAATGTTAAGTCTGAAGCTGTGTCCCCACAATCTGCCCTATTGTATTAGAAGAGTGCAAAGTTTTTGCTATGCAGCATCTGATTCTATATATAGGCACAAAGTCAAGAATGGTGTTTCAGCATTAACTAAGCATTTCCTGACTTTTTTTTGACTGTTTGCCAAATCCTTGTTACTGTTTTAACTTAATTTCTATAATTTCCCTTTTATGTTAATAAAGGTTTCTTGTGGCTGTAAGAGTTGAAGTTGTCTAACTCTACAGATGGCTAGGCTTTCATGTAAATGCTATTTAGATTATTTAAAAGTCCTGCTGGTTACCAGATGGCACTTCTTGGTTTATGTGTGTGAAAAGTGATTACTAACAACTTGCTTCATCTTTTTTGGGGGGGATGGGGGGGTGGGGAAATGATTGAACACAAATGGATTGGGGTTTTTTGCTTGTATCCAAATACACAAAACTGTTTTTTCTTTCAGTCTTGTCTGTT